GGGATTGGAGGAAGACACATTAATGATACAACTTTGCTTGCTGTAAAAGAAGAAGACTTGAAATACTTACTGATGAAGATGAGAGTATAACCTTTAGTATAGACTGTACCTCTATGTAAAGAAAACAAACATCTTCACAACTAAACCAATAAATAAGTTGTCAAAGAATTCATTTTGCTTGGATCCATAATCAATACTCATGGAAGCAGCAGTCAAGTCAAGCTACATATTAGGCAAATCCACTGTAAAATACCTCTTTAAAGTATTAAAGAGCATAGATGTCACTTTGAGGATCAAGGTATGCCTGACCCAAATCATGGTATTTTCAATCGCCTGATATGCATGTGAATGTTGGCAATTAATAAGGAAAACCACAGAAGAATTGAAACATTTCAATCATGGTGTTGGAGAAAAATACTGACAGCACCATGGGCTGTAGAAGGACAAACAAATCTGTTCAAGAATGCTCCTTAGAAGTGAGGATGGGGAAATTTTGTCTCTTGTATGTTGGACATGTTGTCAGGAGGGGCCAGTTCCTGGGAGGACATAATGCTTGGTAAACTGGAAAGTCAGCAAAAAAGAGGATGACCCCCACTAAGATAGACTGACAGTGGCTACAATGGTCTCAAACAACAAATAGTGAGCACGGTGCAGGACCAGGCAGTGTTTTATTCTGTTGGCATAGGGTCACTGAGCCAGAAGCAACTCAACGGCACCTAACAAGAACAATCTCAGCTCTCTCACTTATTACCCAAGCTACTTGGATAAATTAATCTACCAGTAGCTATTTCCTTAATCTATACGACGGGCTAATAAAATGCTGTTTCACATGACTGTTGAAAATTAAATGATACCTGTAAAAGATATACTAGGAAGAGTCAAAAATTATCTGTACTCTGGTTTTATTAAAACACCCATCCACATCCAAGGCTGATGACAACACTGAGCTTAAATGTGATTCTGTTGAATAGATGAGTGACAGTGGATTATGTGGCAAATCAGTCATGGCTCTGCCTGTAAAATAATCCACGACAGAATTGGGTTTTGAAAAGTTTGTTTGAGATGGGTACCAAAACAACTCACAGAAGAGCATAAACAGAGCATTTGGACATCCGTCTGAGAGTAAACAGCAGAATATGGAATGGAAACATTTCAATCGCTGACAAAGAAAAAGTTCAAAAGTCAACCATCACCCATTTGACCTAGCTTCGATGGCTTGATGATCAGAGCTTGACCAGAAGATAAAGAAGTTTGAAACAGGAAGCAAGTGTAAATTGCTACAATTTGATGAACTTGACCTATACTTATGGATGTAGTAGCTCAAAATGTCAACTGAGGGGGAAGGAATCTTCTCATCAAGGAGCAAACCGATCCCCTCAGTATACAGGAATTATAGGGACAGGCAACTTAGATATTGGCTACCTAAAATGGCAGGGAGGGGCTATAAAGGCATGAAGTGGCTGGCTTACAAGTTTTCAACAGGGAGTGTAGTTTTAGAGTGTTCAGGGGAAGATAGAATCCCATTGAATAGTCTTCATCTTGTCTAGATGGGTCTGATGAAAGGAGATGGGGATAGGATTCAGTTGATTGACTAGGGAGTACTTGTTATCATGATTAATTATGATTGTCACAACTGTAAAGGGAGAATGATATATAACAAAAAGGAGGGAGTAGTTAATCTTACATTCCAGAAACAGAGGACCCTAGGACCATCAAGGGAAAAGAGCATGAGTGAAACATGGGATCCTAACCAGAGAAGCAGCAACACCAGAGATGGAGGCAGAGATAAGGACATTGAGAGATAGAGTGACTGAGGACTCTAGACTAATGGAAAGACAAAGGCTATATGCTTGCAGCCAGGAGGCAGGCTTGCAAAATGTGCCCTTTGGTTGTTCAAACAATTATATATTCCTGAGTGGTTTTGTGTACATAAAAAAGAAAAAAAGAAAGAATAGAGACAAATACTGCTAACTGATGGTACACAGAGGGGATCATAAGCATTACAATGAAATAAAACATAATTGGCTGAATGCAAAACTCATGTTCTCCCATGTAAACTAGCACTCAATTCACAGTGAAAGCTTTAGGAGAAAAAAAAAAAAAGTCAACCATCAGCTGGAAAATTGGTGCTTATAGTTTTCCGGAATTTTTAAGAGTCAGCATTGGAACACTATCAGGAAAAAGCTTTAACAATAGTGCTCCTTACAGTGAGATGCTCACTGAAGAACTGAAGCCTAAACGTCAAATTAAACGCAGAGAACTGCTATCCAAGGGAGTTGTGATCTTGAATCACAATGCACGTCCACACACCTCTGCCCACACTGTTGACACTCTGCAAAAACTTCATTTTGAGAGATTCAAGCATCCTCCCTATAGTCGTGATCTTGCTCCATGAGACTTACACCTATTTGGTCCTCTGAAATCAGCCCTTCGAGAACAAAGACTCACCTCTGAATGAAGAAGTGAAGAAAGCAGTGCATTCATGGCTTACAGCTCAGCCAAAAACATTTT